ACTAGCACTGGGCAGGCAACACAGTTTTCAAGACTTTTGCTCTCTGCTACAGGGAATTGTGTCTGTCTCTATGACTATACAATCTCCTATTGCCACTAGGAGATAGCAAGAACTGCAGATGCTGGAGTCAGAGTCAATACGGTGTGGAGCTGGAGGAACACAATGGGCCAGGCAGCATCAAAGGAGGAGGACTGATGAAGGTTGTAAACCCGAAACGTCAACTTTCCTGCTCCTCTGATGCTGCCTGGCCTGTTGTGTTCCTCCAGCTCCACACTGTATTGACTCCTACTGCCACTGCCTTCTTATTTAATCCCCCTGCTGTAATAGTTTTCTGTTCAGTGTCATAGTCAGTTGACTCATTCACACTGCAGCTCTTATCCCCATTCTCTGATTCTCCACCCCTGAACATGATCCATACAAGCTGCAAAGAGCCCTTAACTTGTTGGACAATTGCAAAGGCTGAAGCTCCTCAATTTCTACCTCTTGATTGCCATACCAAGCTACCTCACAGTGACACCATCCTGTCCCTGACCATGAGACAAATCAGAAGACCTTAGTGTAAGGAGTGTAATTACCTCTTGGAACAAAGTATCTAGGTAATTTACTCCTCCCTGATGCATCAAGTCCCAAAGCTCAGACACCAGCTCAGTAACTCAGAGTTGAAAACTATAAAAATACCTCCTACCCTGACATTGTTATTGTGTTTAATTAATGAATTAATTAATGATTTTCTTAATTAAATTTTAAAAAGTCCTCCTAGTCTTGTTTGCACTTATGCTCACTTTATTTAAATTGCTGTTCGACATGCCTGATTGAAAATCCCTTTAGATATGTAGGAAATGTTCACCAATCAATCACCAATCTACTGTCCTGTGATTTCCCACCTCGACATTTTCATTCCCAATACATATTCTGACTGATGATGATATTTCCTGCCCCAAAACTTCACTATTTCCTCCCATGATACCTCACTGGTTTAAGCTTCAAGGTGTTGCTGTTTTACACTCCAAAGCCATAAATATGATAAATTTATCCTATCAGTGTAGCCTGTAACTATATATTATACCTTTTTAACTATAAAATGCTGTTGGTTGGACCAGGAAATGGTTTGTCTCGACTACATTAGACCAAGCAGACCAATTTTCACTGTTGAATGTAGATTACAAGATCTTGTCTAAAGTTATCCCTACTAGGTCAGGTCCGCTCTCGGATTGGTGATTCACCCCAAACAAACCTGTGCTGTACCGGACAGGAAGATATCTGAGAGCCTCGTTCTCCTCAGGGATACAATCACTTATGTGCAGGATGGGGTCTGGACACCTGCCTCATCAGCCTGGACTAGGAGAAGGCCTTTCAGAAGATATCGCACATCTGCATGAGGGATGTACTGTCCAAAATGGGCTTTGGGGAGGGAATCCGCAATTGGATGAATGCTCTATACTAATATCATTAGTGCAGTCTCAATCAAAAACAGATCTGGAGTCAGGCAGGGCTGCCCACTTTCTCCAGCCTGTCTGTACGTTATATAGAGCCTTTTGCAGAGTCCATCGAGAAGGATACGAGTCTGAGAGAGGTAACTATTCCAGGCAGCAGAGGAGTGCAGATCAAAGCCTCGCTATACACGGATGACATCGCCATTTTTTGCTTGGATCCGCTATCAGTGCACAGGCTCCTGAGCGTCTGCGACCAGTTCAAACTGCCTCGGGAATCAAGGCAAGAGCGGGACCATGTTCTTTGGGAACTGGGCCGGCCGATCCTTTATCCCATTCACCATCAGGACAGATTACTTGAAAGTGCTGGGAATATGATTCAGAGAGACTGGGGCGTGCCCCAGAACTTGGGAGAAGCGTGTTACCAAGGTCAGGCAGAAACTAGGCAGATGGGATAATATCTCCCTCTCCATTGTGGGTAAAAATCTGATCATCGTGTGTGAGGTACTCTTGTTGCTGTTGTATGTGGCACAGGTCTGGCCTATTACTTGAGCCTGCATCATTGCAATCACCCAAACCATTTTCAACTTCATCTGGGAGACAAAGACAGACCTCATTTGCAGGGACATCATATACAAAGCTCTGGATAAGGGGGGAAAGACATACCCAAAGCTGCCTTCATCCACATGGCCACCTTTGTGTTTGGTTGCATCAAGCTGTGCGTAGACTTTCAGTTCACAAACACCAGCTCGATCATAAACACCTGCTTTTGACTTCAAATCCATGACTAATATGGGCAAGTATCACATCTGTCTTCTTGACTACCTTATCTACCTGTCCTGCTACCATCAAGGATCTATGGATTTGCACTCAAATATTCCTCTGATCCTTTGAAATTCCTAGAGTCCTACCATTCAACATGTACTTCCTTGCCTTGTTAGTTCTCCCAAAATGCATCACTTCATCTTTTTCAGGATTAAATTCCATATGCCACTGTTCAGCCCATCTATATCATCTTGTAGCCTATTGCTTTCCTCCTTACTATTTACCACACAATCAAGTTTTGTGTCTGCTGATCATACCATCACAATTTGCTTGCTGGCACTAAGCCAATTTTGAAACCAATTTGTCAAATTGCCCTAGATCCCACAGGCTGTTAGCTTTTCGACCTGTCTGCCCTACGAGACCTTTTCAGAAGCCTTACTAAAATCCACGTAGACTACATCATCTGCACTTCATCAATGCACCTAGTAACCTCCTTAAAAAATTATATTAAATTTGTTAGACATGATCTCCTCCTGACAAAACCATGCTAACTGCCTTGATTAATTCTTGTCTCTCCAGGTAGAGATTAAGTCTGTATTTAAGATTTTTTTTCTAATCGTTTCCCTACTGCTAATGTTGAACTCACAGCACTGTAGTTTCCGAATTTATCATCTTTCTCGAATGATGGCACCACGTTAGGTGTTCTCCAATTCTCTGGCACCCAAGTGGCCAGGGAGGGTATTTGAAAATTAGTGTCAGAGCCCCTGCAATCATCTCCCTTGCCTCCCATTGTAGCCTGTGATACATCTCAAATGGGAAGATCCCCCAACACAGAGTGAAATAAACATGCATAACAAACTGAAGTGAAACAAATAACTTGCATGCCAAAGCAGATAAGGTTACGAGCCAAGTATGGAAAATGAGATTAGAATAGTTAGGGGATTTATCCACTCTCAAGCCTGCTGAAACCACTAATACCTCCTCCATCTCAATGTTAATCTGTTCAAGTATGTCACAGTCCCTCTCCCTGATTTCTGTACCTACATCGTCCTTCTTTATCATGAATACTTGTAAAAAGTTGAGGCTCCACCACAAACTCTTGGGGGACTCCAATCATCACATCTTGCAAATCAAGCAAAGACCCATTTAGGCATACTCCATTGTTTTCTCCCAGCCAAACAGCCAGTCTTTTATCCGTGGCAATATGGTGCCCTTTACACAATGACGTATGATGTGACACCTTATCAAATATCTCCTAGAAATCCAAGAACAGTACGCCTATAGGCTCCCCCTTATCCACGACATGTTACTAATTCAAAAACCCTAATAAATTGGGAAAACATGATAAAACTATGTTGGCTCTTTCCAATTATTTTCAGTTTTTTTTCGAAGTGCCCTGCTATATCCTCCTCAATGATTAAATTAAACTCTTCCCCACAATAGATATTGAGCAAGCTGGTCTATGGTTTCTTGCCTCTTTTCCTTGTTAAATAGAGGAGTTATATTTGCTACATTCTTGTAGCAATTGCATCATAGAGTACAAAAGCAAGCGAATTAAGATGAGCCTTTTTCAAACACTTGTTCAGCAACAACTGGAGTATTGTGTTCAATTCTGACACTGCATTTTAGGAAAGTTGTGATGCTTTTGGAGGGGATACAGAGAAAAAAATCTGAATAGTTTCAGGACCAGAGACTTAAGTTACATGATAGATCGAAGAAGCTGGGCTTGGAGGGAAGTTTAAGAAGAGATTGAATAGAGGTGTTCAACATACCAAGTGTCTCTAGACAGAGTAGATTGAAGGAAATTGTACTCATTTGTGGAAAGGTTGATTGTTCATTTGATTTGATTTATTATTGTCACATGTACCTAGGTCCAGTGAAAAGTTTTGTTTTGCATGCAGGCAGAACATAATATACAAGGTGCACTAGGATAATAGAGCAGAGTGAAGAATACAATGTTATAGTTGCAGAGATGTTGCACAAACAGCAAGATCAACATTAAATTCAGATTTTGAGAGATCCATTCAGAAGTCTAATAACAGCATGGAAGAAGCTGTTCTTGAATCTGTTGGTGCATATGTTTAAGCTTTTGTATCTTCTGCCTTATGGAAGAGGATGGAAGAGATTATGACCGGGTTGGGAGGGGTCTTTCATTATTTTGGCTGCCTTCCCAAGGCAGCAAGAAGTATAGATGGAGACAGTTGATGGAAGGTTGGCTTGCATGATTGACTGGGCTGTGTTTACAACTCTCTGTAGTTTCTTATGGTGTGGGGAGATCAACTGCCATACCAAGCTGTGTTGCATCAACATAGAATGTTTTCTATGGTACATCTATAAAAATTGGCAGGAGACTTTATGGACATGTCAAATTTCCTGAGCATCCTAAGGAAGTAGAGGCATTCTTGTGCTTTCTCGACCATAGCAAAAATGTGGATGGACCAGGATAGATCGGTGGTGATCACATTTCTTAGGAACTGGAGAATAAAATGTTTAACGAAGGGTAATCAACATTTTTTTTGCACAATTCGCATCACGAATGTGATTTAGGCAAACTCGACAGTGTCTTGACTAAGTAGTTTATGGAAAAATATTGCAGGGCATGGGAGCGGGATTAGCTAAAGAGCTGTTGCAGTGAGCAGACACTGACACGACGGGCCGAATGGCCACCGCCCCCCCCCCAATTCTGTGATGATGCCTCATTGCGGGGTTTGACCTCACAGCCTAACCGAGAGGGCGGTTAACTATTTAGCGAGAACCCTCAGGGTTTGAAATGCAGTTGCCGCTGCGGCGCTGGCCAGAGTTGAAGGAAACGCGTTTGGTTGTGACTGACTCTCTGTGCTTGCCGTCGAGTCGCTGCTGTCAGGAGCCGGGGGGCGGGGCGGTGGCGGAGGCTGATGGCTGCGGTCTTCCTGGTGATGTTGTATGAATATTCTCCACTCTTCTACATAACCCTCATCTTCTTGTGCTTCTTTGTAACTACCGCCGTCATACTGGGATGGTAAGTGTCACAAATAAGGTGCCCCGTGGATAAAAGTTGCTGGTCCCAGCGTCTTGATAGCCGTGAAGATGTCACTTTTATTCTCCAAAACAGGTTTGTTTGGGATATTCCCGTAATTATCCGGAATTCGGAGGAGACCGAGTCCGGGGCCACAGTGCAAAAAAAACGCATGGTGCAGGTGAAAAACCCATTCGCACTGGAAGTTTTGAACACCGATGCTGCATCAGTTATAGGTAATTTACTTTGTTGTCTTAAATGGTATCTCAGTGTGTAACGCTGCAAGAAACATTGTTTGGACACTTGCTTTGTGTTCAACACATTGGCTGATGAGTAACCAGAATCGATATTAATATGCACTTTCTCTGATCGATTCTAACTGAGTGATGGATGATGCTCACACACACTTCACTTTCTTCAAACTTGGTTAAAAAAGAAACATCCCATCTACTATGTCCAAGTATCAGTCTCTGTTATTGGAATGCTTATCCGTGCAACCACGTTTTGCATGTTGTTTCCCAATTCTTCTTGGATAAATATTTGTACCATACATCAAACCTGTTGGAATTGTTTTGCAGCAGTTTGCATTTCATTTGAAGATAGTAATTTGGTCAGCCAAGTTCTTGAGCTCCACCCCAATCATTGTTATTGTTTACCTTCAGAGTAGCCTAGAACTGTTTAGGGCAATGTACAGTTGACAGACCTGCGATAGCATGTTAATATCATGACACAAGAGTTCACCACTTACAGTGGCTGAAGTTTTTGGAATGTAATGATGCATATTGGTTAGTAAAATATTCAGGGATTTGTGGTAAAGAGGTATGGTATGAGCTCTGATTTTCCACATATTACTGGAGATCTTTACTGGATGATCTTTTGCCATTAGCTTTGGCAAAATTAGTCAAATTCCCATCGTAACACAAAACTATTGAAATTCATTGCATGCCATAAAATATTTTGATTTATGTATTTTGTCATTGCTGTTTAGGGTTGATGATAATTAATGTTGTAAGGACTATGTTAATAACGCAATTTAAACTTTGATGTGACACTCATCAAGCCAAGAAGTAGGGCAATGAGGCTGTAGGATATCACTGTAATAAGTTTAGTGAATTATACCTAGAGGATTTTAAAGTTTTCTTTATTAGTCTTGGCAATATTTTTGTGCCAATCTTCCCATACACATGCCTGTTATTGTGGGAGGAGCTGTGTAAGCACTGAATACAAAATAAGCACCTTTAGAAAATAACTTTGCAACATATTGTATGCAATGAAGGTTCAGGATTTTTCATTATCATTCTTCGAAAAATTGCGTTCTAAAATGGACAGCCATGCATGGCTTTAAGGTGGATTGGTACTTCTTTGTGGTGTGTTAAGCAGGAGGTAAATAGTTTTGGTTTAATTTTTGAGTTCTGTTGAATGACACTGGGTTGACTTGAAATTTGATTACATCCATTGAAATCAGGCTTTTAATTTTTTGAGGGCGAATAGATCAGTGCTCGGAAAGAAGTAGAAGAGCTGCAAATAAATGTGCTATTGTCCAGTGCCAGAGTGTCCTGTAAATGAGGGAGACAGTTCTTTTAGAAGGACAGAACCACCCGGAAAGTCAATGAGTCTGCAGATTTCTTTCAGAGCAAGACATTTCATTCAGACAATATGGGTCAGTATTAGCAGAAATGCTCATTTAACAGTTTGCCAAACAATCATAGCAGTATCAGTTAAGTCCTGTGTGGTTCAAAGTCAGAAGCAGAAGGCAGTGCAAGAGGAGTTTAAGGAACCCATCATAATAAATAAATAAGTTGCGTTAGCTGTTTATTTAAGGGTCTGAACTGCAGCTTGCCCACTGAACAAGGAAATTCAAAGTGGAAGGGTGACTCTTCACAAATTTGAGTATGTGTAAGATTGTTGTTGGGAGTAAAATGTTTGAACCTTTGTTTGTAATATAATAAAAAGCATTTTAAATAATTCTTGTATAGTGTAAACAGGGTTCATTTTTAACTTGTATCTAATAAACTTTGTTCTTTTCTTAAAAGTTCATTGACAGCATCTTGTGAATATGTTCAATGGCTGACCATTATGAGCAACAAATTGTAACAATAAAACTAAAATTAAAATAAAAGCTATGTTTCGCGCTGGAATCTGACTTGTCCAGAATTACAATTGGCTGGAATCATAATACATATGAGTAGTTTGTAACAAATAATAAGTAACATAGCATGATAATTGTAATATGAAGGAAAAGAAGTGACTTTGAACCTGTTGTTCCTCAAAATACCCACTGGAATTGTCTTCGCCTCATGTTTGGGTATATTGTGAACTAATTGATAGAGGTTGACTGCTAACAATCACAGTATCATTTTATGATAATACAGTTGTTAGGATTTAAGGTTCTTTACAGGTTTATTTTGGTGAAAGTTTATTAGCACGTGCCCCTTTTTTAAGAACCTCCATTTAAGTGACTGATTTGAAACCAGTCATCGTTGGTTAATAAATGATTTCGAAGGTGAACTCGATGGACCTTGATCTAGCAATTCATTTCAATTCCTGCACTCGCATTAAAATAATTCCTGTGATTCCTAATCATGAGATACCTGGAGCCACTGGTCCTGTATTTCACGGGTAAAAAATGTTAGCCATTTTTCATTCCTACCCTTTCATTCATTAACTGCTGACGAACCAAAACATCAATTCCCAAACATTATTGGGCTGCAATGACCTCTTCTGGTTATTCTATTTGATTTATGTTTCTCCCTATTGTCTCTTTTATTTTTGTCTGTGCCTGTCTCAACCTGCAATCTTTCTTGTGGATTCTTTATTTCTGTTGTGTCTAATTTGCCTCAAAATCAGCTCCTTTCCCTCTGTTGTTGACAATGTTCTTTTCTGCATTAGTTTTTCATTGGTCGAGGAGATGTGTTGTATTGTGCCAAACAGTTTAACAAAGCACAGGAACAGACCCTTGGGCCCACCAAGCCTGCGCCGATTCTCATCGTTATTTAGACCTCCTATTATTGCCCATGTGCATGTCCTATCCCACTGTTCACTTCCCATTCATGTGCCTATCAAGATACGCCTTAAACATTGCAAACAAGCCTGTTACCACCACCTCCACTGGCAGTGTGTTCCAGGCACCCACCACCCTCTTTGTGAAAAATTTTCTCTGCACTTCTCTCCTAAACTTGTCCCCTGTCACTTTGAACCTGTGCCTTCTTGTAGTTGACCTTTGCACCCTGGAAAAAAGCCTCTGACTATCCACACTATCTATGCCCCTCATAATTTGGTAGACCTTTATCAGGTCGCCCCTCAGCCTCTTGCCTTCCCAGCGAAAGCAATGAGAGTTTACCCAACTTCTCTTCATAACTAAAACCCTCCAGACCAAGCACCATCCTGGTAAAACTCCTCTGCACTTTCTGCAAAGCATCAATGTCCTTCTGGTAGTATGGCATCCGGAACTGCACACAACATTCTAAATGCTGCCTAACTAAAGTTTTTTTGTACAGCTAACCTAACTTGTCAACTTTTATATTCAAACACCCAACCGATGAAGGCAAGCGTGCTGTATGCCTTCTTGATCACCTTATCCAGCCACTTTCAGGGATCCATGGACCTGTAAGCCCAGATCCTTCTCTATGTCAAAATGTTCATGCAGTCTCAGATTTGTCATTCATGTTGCTGTACTGTTAATGTTTCAGTGGTCTATAAATTTTCAGCTTAAATATAATTCAGTTTCTACAGAGACATAGAAAGTCTAGTTCACCACGAAAGATAGCATTACAGCAATTTCTTACTGAAGGATAAATTTTGGGCATAGCCTTACACAGTACTCAAACAGTGGTGAAATTAAAATAAAATTCAATTGATTTGAGGATCCCAACTGATCATAGCTTTTGTTATCCAGTTATCACTTGGAAGCCAGTTTTGGGTCTGTAGCATGAATTGGATTCATAGTCTTTTTAAATACAAGTACAGTTGTCTGTTGAATCTCCGTGCTCAGCAATTCGCTATAATGATGGCCAATGCATATAAATTTCGTCCCTGCCTCCTGTGGTATCTTAGGGTTTACGTACTACTTGGGCAATGGAATTTTTTGTCTTTGATCCATCTGATTTACCTTATTTAGTGATACATCCAGATAAAATCAATTTAATATTTAAATTATTTTACATTTTTTTTTAACCTCTGTATATTTTCACTTTCTAACTTCCACTCTCATTTTATTGTAATAGTAGAAGAATTTTTCTGTAATATATGTAACATTCTTAGCTTCCTTAATCTCAAGTCTTTGCTGCTTTCATAATATTTTTCAGCTACTTTGGTAAATTCATGTATACTTTTCAAATTTCTCCCACACTTTGTAGATTTTGAGTTATTTACTTTGTATTTCACATTTTTAATTGTTGTTTTCATTCAGATTGGGGAATCTGTGTTTAACTTAGATTTATTTTCATTGCAGGCTTACTGCATTCATGGATGTGACCTTTGTACAAGGACCCTCCTCATTTCATTTTGACTTCTCTGCAGCCTTTGACTTGGCTGATCGCAACATCCTGATCAAACAGACCTTCTCTGTTGTTCAGAGAGTGAAAACTTCTTGTAATTTTGTTTTCACTAACGCTGTCATAGTCAGGGAGACTTCTGCAATGCCTCTTTCTGTCCCTGCACTGTTGCTCCAAAGATCTGTGCTTGGGAGCGTCCTATTACTCATACATGTTACCATTCAACAGCAACATCCAGTGACAAGGTGTCATGTTCTACATGTGTGGTGACAATACCCAACTCTAGTCACCATCACTGCTGTTGATCTTTCTGCTCCCTCTGCTGTTAGACAGCTTGTCAGACACAATCCTGGATGAACCAAAGTTTTCTGCAACTAAATGTTAGGCAGACCAATGGAGCTGTCTCCAGTTCCACTACAAACTCTGTTTTCCCATGTTCTTGCTATTTCTGTTATTTTTGCCCAATCCGTCATACACATACACTGAGCTCTTACTCAAAATACATCTGCTTAACTGTCAATTATCCCAAATATCTTTGCTTTACTACTACTGTCTGGAGGGAAAAGGCTTCTTGCTGGTAATTGATCTTACTTTCTTAGCTTCATGTTTTTTAACCTCGCCATGTTGTCTGCGTCCTATTCTTTTAACAACGTGTTCTCGGATTTTTCTGTTTCTTCTATGTGACCACAAAAGCTGGAAATGAGGCACTTTTAGCCAAATATTTTAATTTGCTTAGGAAAATA